TTAGGGATAGCACCCCAGTCTCCTTGACCCAACTTCACTACTTAAAGCCCACTGTTAAAGCTGCTTCCATCAATACTCAGTGGCTCCATTTGTTTCTTTCCTGATCCTCCTGCAGAACCCACCGCTCTTCTTCCTCACACTGTTATACACACACCAGGGTCAAAACCACTGGCTCCAGTATGTTCTATTTTACTTTGGTATAAGTGTAACCAAAATCAGGTGATGGTGCAGCCTTTAACAAGTGGGCTGATGATTACAGCCCTGTGTCACTCCTTCAAGCCTGTGCCTGTGCCACCAGCAGCAAACTGGAACTCTTCTATAATATATTCTGCAAACCACATAAGTTTCAATGAAGGGAGTCCATGCACCACTTCAGGATCCCAAGGCAGTACAACATAAGAGATCTGAATGACTATCTGGTGCTTCTGGCCTTCAAAATGACGTGGCTGACAAGCTGTTTAAATTTAGTCATTTGAGCTCTTGACCTACATGCAGAGGTAACAAAGTCCCTTTGTGCCCTCTTGAGTTCAAAGGAATGAGACTTTCATTTATGAAATTAAGAGGAAAACCACTGAGCATGTTCAGAGGGCACTGATGATTTAAAAAGCCTGTGTTTTTCCTTCCCCTGCTCCAAGAATGCACTGCTGCCTTGCAGTTAAGGATTCAGAATGTGGATGCTTTAACTTCAACAACAGACAAGAAAGCATCCATGCTTGTTGTCTTGAACCACAGGGACAGGGAATCATTATCCCCCAAAGGGGCTGACAGGTAACCGATAGTGTTGTCACAAAGCTTTGACTCTTCAAGTTGCGACCTCACCCAGTGATGTGCACTCCAGTTAAATGTTTACAATAATAGATGACAGAAACATTGTGCACCTTTTTTAATAGGTCCACATATTACTACAAAACTTCTTCCAAGAGAGAGAACTAGACACACCAGAACTAAAAGCCTGAACCAGAAAAATAGCTCAGTCACTGGCAGGTACTGATCAACTGATATCTATAATTTCTAGTTCCAGACCCTGATAACTGCCTTAAAGAATTTTACCATTTGTAAATATCTACTTCCTTCTAAAGTTAAGAGTTTTAGCCTATTATAAGTCACATCTTCACATCTGGGGGGGAAATGAAGTGGAAAAACTTCTACAGCAGACATTTAACATTCTATTTTATATTTTCCCTCCTTACTTTTGTCAGTATTAATCTTCTATTTAAACAAATACTGATTCTCTTAGAGTCCATGATCCCCACCCCGCCCCACCACCCGCAGTTTGGTCACACAATAAAAATCACAATTCTGATTGTATCCATTGGGAGGAAAGTTTTATATTTTAGTGAAACATTCATGAGAGGCTCTCGCTGAAGAGAGTGGTGAAGTTTGTTTAACAGGATAAATATTTCTCCATAAATATTACTCTTAAATAAAATCTAAAAAAAAAAGCATAGTTTATTTGTTACTTTACTATACAATTAAATCACCTTTTTTATCAATATATCTGCAATGAGTTTGGGGAAAAATATTTAACCCATGAGTACACATCAATATCTCAAAAAGAAAGTGAAAGAGTAACCTAGTATTCAATCCCAAGTGTACTTTTTTTTTTCCCTTAAGCCTTCTGAAGTCAAAAAGTAGTTCAAAAGGTTTACTGCAACAGTCCAAGAACATGTTATTGAATCAACAGTGGACATCAAGTACTCCCCAGTGAAATACACAGCCAGGAAACAAGAGTTCCACTAGCAGCAGTTACTGCAGCTTTTAAGTTATATAGGGTGGACTAACAGTGTTTCTCAACCTGTGGTATGCGTACCCCTGGGGGTACACAAGATATGGGCAGGGGGTACGCAGGTGCTGCGTCTTGGTCTTTGCCGGCTTGGGCCAGAAATTTCAGCCACTGCCCCTCCCACCAAGTCTGGTGCGCTTTCACTCCCCACCATCAGTGTGCTGAGGGATAGGGAGGGAGGATGCACGCAGGTTGCTTTGTCCCAGGCTGCGGTGGAACAAGTGGGACTCAGCTCATGGCAGCTAAACCAGAAGGGCCACAGTGGGACTTCTGGTTTCGTTTTTGCCACGTCAGTCGGCAGGGGGTACATAAAGTACCAAAGGTTGAGAACCACTGGACTAGAAAAGTTTTATAGTCTGCTAGCTGTTCTGTTGTAGTTAAATTACAAAGAAGCATTCAGTGGTATCAAAGCAAAAGCTGACTTTTATGCCTTTGGGAAAGCAAAAAGTTAACTTCAGGTTATGATAAGCACACTTCTTACCTGCAACTCTTTGGAGCACACAGGGCATAAACATAAGGCTAAATGATTACACAAAATACTTTTTAGGGCACATAATCATTGAAGTCTAAGTGTGGAATCACCTTTTATCCAATGACACTGAGCATGTGTCTGTCCTAATTCTTCCTTCACAGCTGTTCCTCCCATAAAACATCTTCCTACAAAGAAAGCACTTCCTAAGTTAGTTGAATTTTCTAACTTATTCTATACCAATTCATGCACTTGAAGCAACTAGAAAAAAGAACTAGTACTGGGGTATTAGCCCCTGTTAGCCAAGTTAGCCAAAATGGCCTAGTTAGCCAAGATCTAGCATAACGGGCCACAGGTTTGGAAGTTGAGGTTTGGCAAGAGGCAGCATCATTAATAGCTGCATCTCTGGGAGCCAGGACAAATAACATTGCCACTGCTTGCCACTACCAAATTTCCGGACCTGCAGGCCAGATCTAGGGCTGTATCATCTGGCCCATGGGGCTGGAAATGTGGTTGGAAGAGCAGTGGTTACCACAGCTCCAGAAACTGCAGCTGTTAATGCTGTTGCTACTAAATTCCAGTCCCACACGCCAAGTGATATGGCTCTGCACTCCAAATCTGGCCCATGGACCAGTCTTACAGCACCCATCCTGCCCATAGGGTCATAAGACTTGGGCACCACCAACTTAGCTGTTTAAATACTCTAGACTTAATTCTAATAAGACATCAAAACACTTCTTAACTACTGTCAACAAGATGGCAACTTAGAGGCAACTCATTTAGAAATGTATAAGCTTTTGCAGGCAGCAGCCTACATCAGATGCTCTCCTAGTGTATTTACAGCATATAACAAAGCACCTAACAAATCTTATGCATTTCTGAATGAGCTCGTCTCCAAGGCTGCTGACAGATGTGAAAAAAACAAAATGAAAAGAAAAACCAGCACTTTACTAGAAGAGGAAACTCGTTAGTTCGACCTGACTCCCAAGCATCTGTACAGATCAGGTACTTCAGTGGGGCTTTTTGGTGTTTATCTAAACCAGCTATTAGACAAAAGTGCCAAAAAGCCCTGTTCATAGAATCATAGAAGTAGGGTCGGAAGGGACCTTGTAGATCTTCAAGTCCAAACCCCTGCCTCGGCAGGAGAAAAATTGGGCTCAAATGACTCCAGCCAAGTAGGCATCAAGCCTCTTCTTTAAGACCCCCAGGGTAGGAGCCAGCACCACTTCCCTTGGAAGTTGGTTCCACATCCTAGCTGCCCTGACTGTGAAGTAGTTCTTACAGATGTCTAATCTAAGAACTACTGTTGAAACACCCAGTCTATACAGATGTTGAGTGAGCTGGGTAAAACTAACACAATGCCTCTTCTGGGCATGTACTGCACTTGGTGTGGGGATACATCGAGCTGAAAGTAAAGTGCTGTTGGGTTTTTTTTCCACATCTGTAAGCAGCCTAAGATGCTACCCTACCCTGCCTTCTGGCTAACCTCAGACTGATATGTTTAACTACCTCTCTCTATTGTCAACAAGTGATTCAGTTTTACCAGTTTCACTTCCTTTGCATGTGATTTCATAACAAGCTTTGGGTCACAGCTGCAGAGTAGATACTTTTTATGCAATTCACTCTTAAGATTTAAGAGATGGAAATGTACCTATACCAAAAAATCCACTAGTATAATACAGAATTTCAGGCCATGTCATTGACTCAATTAAGAGGTCTGAGAACACACACATAATTTCTCAACACCTAAGCCTAGCTAACTTTTTTTTTTGACAGTTGATAAAACTAAACATTTTTATGACTGACAATGGATATAAGAATGACATGCATACAGATATAAACACAACATGTACTGAAATAATAATCTGAACATAAGGGTATCAAAGTTAAAAGGTATGAATTACTCTTGTTACATTTGTATAGCAGTTGGACACTGCAATCGAGTCAGGTGCAAATCATTACAACAAAGCAAAGCTTATCATTTCACACATCTCTAACTTGTCAGCTCAACTTGGGCTTTCTAACAAAGAAAAAACTACTTCTTGCATGTCCTTAATCACTGGCTGGAGACCTGTTTCCAAGAGAAGGTGACAACACTCAATATACAGACTCCCATCATTGGAGTCTGTATACAAGCATATTGTAAGAGTAATAGGATCTAGTTTTTATTAGAATCATATCTTACCCAATTATGGATCTTTCACCAAAGTCATGTCTGTCAAAGTCTCTTTGTCTTTTCCTGTTTGGAGAAGAGCCCCGATTCCTCGCCCTTAATTTCCACTAAAAATCAAAAATAATTGTAGTAATGAAATTAAAACAAATTATTATGGTGACTAATGTCTGGATGTGTGGAAGAGTGGGTGAACAATGATACAAACGTGAAACAACAAAACTGATTATGTACAGCAGATCAGCAAAAAGTACTGAACACTCAGTTTGCCCAAGAAATACACTGCATGTGAAACCAATATGATTTCCAGAATCTTTACTGACTACCCCTTTCTCTAACTTAGATGTTTACACTCAAGAAGGCAAGATTTTGCTTTATGAATCTGAATAAGAAATGTACATTTAACTATCGTAACTACAAGACAATATCCTTTGACTTTTTTGCCTAGTTTTGTTGGGTTGCTTTTCTCATTTATACAGGCTCTAGCAAATTAGAGCACATTCCAACAGCTATTTGTTTTTTGCTTTGATCATAAACTGAATTAGAGTGCTAGCCTCCTAGCATATTAGTAAAGCTTCTAGTATCTCTCTAACTGGAGAAACATGTGTTGTTATGACTGTTGATGTGCAACACCATCTGCACCCCCTTCTCAAAATCCTAGATCCACCCATGTACATTTGTGCCAAATCTCACAATATTTCTTGCTTATTATCCAGTCCCACTTTCTGGAGCCAAACCACTAACTGAGAAACTCACTTAAAACATCAAATCTCTGGCTCTCATGATTACAGGAGAAGTCCTAAACAGGACCTGTGCAAAATCAAAAGGTGCCTATACACATGCAGCGAGGCTGCTCTGATGCACTGTAATTACATAAATAATTACATAAATAAGCTGAACTTATGATTTTTGAATAGTCTGAACTGCGGTCAGGACTCGGGCTAAGAAACGCCCACACCTAGGAGGATCTCAGACGCCAGGCAGAGCTGCTTCCATTTCAGTGATTGCCTGCACACAGTCATGCAGCTGCAGTATTGGGACTTTATTTTTGACAGATAAAAAGATGAGGGTGTGCAATTTTCAAACACACAAGGAATGGACAAGGAACTCCTAACGCATCTGATTCTGAAAAAATTTCATCTAGGGCAGATGTAGATGGTAAGCAGCTTTCATTTACCGCTTGTAAAGGGCAGTCCAAATGGTGGGAGTCTGCGAGCCTCGACAGAGGGGACTGAACATGGTCTTCCTCTGGCTTGCTGCTTGGTTTCTTCTTTGGTATTCGAAACTGAAAGAAGAGGATATTACTTCCATACATTCATTATCCGCGTTAAAGCTAAATGATACAAGGTGCTAAGAACTTACCTAGTGCCATTTACAAACATCTTTTCTGCCCTTAGACCATGAACAAACATGGAAAAAACTGACCTGTAATTTTAATTTGAAGGAAGCATTCTTTATGAAGCTCCTACCACTAGTGCATATGGGGCACTGGAAAGCTAGCCTTACATCTCAAATCAGTTAAAAAAAAAAAAAGTAAACAAAAAAACCCCACCTTTCCACTCAATTTATTGTACTGATAATTTTGTGTGCGCACTCAATTCACCTCTCTTCTGATTAAATTAAATTCAGCTCTCTAACTCAGAGGTTAAGGGGAGAATAGAGAGAAAAAACACAATCTTTAAAGAAATTACACTGCATTCTAAATGCTCTAAAGATATCTCATTCAAGAACAATTTAACCCTAAAACAGTGTTATGGACAGTGGGTGCAACTACACACTTGTTAATGCGCTGTAATTACTTAATGTGCCATAATCGGCGCTACTGCGCATTAGTGCAAATGCTTTTTTGTGACACTTGATGCTCTTGGAATAATCCACTGTGCATTAGAGCATTAACACGGTTTTTGCCAAATGCGCCAACATGCAGTACACCACCAATGCGCAGTCTCCTGTAAATGTACCCAGGATAACTGATATACAGACACTGAAGTGGGCTCAAGGCAGCATGCATTTCCATTTGCAACTTTAATCAAATAAAACTGTCTTTTTTTAAGGAAAAAAAAATTAAGTAAGGATATCAGTCATTTCTGACAACTCGCCAAAAAAAAAAAAAAATCAGAAAAATCATGTGATTTTTCTGTAGAAAATAATCCAATCCCTGAATATAAAAGTATGAAGTTCAAAACAAAAACTAGACAATTGAATTCCTATAGACCTGTCTTGGCAGTTCAAGCAGAATGTGTTTTCCGATCAGGTTAAGTTAACTTGGGTGAACCAACATGATTTTAATAAAAAGAAAAAAAAAAGGCTTTTTTTTAGCCTATTTGTGTCTCACAAACAAAACACAGAAAATGTTGTTATGTTACATTTTACATCAAATTAGAGTAAAGTACCAGAGACTTGATAGTACAATGAAGTCATTCAGCTACTAATACACCTGGGCTAAGTACAGGCAGTCGAAAAGCCTGAGGCTGAATCAGTTCAATCTTTGCAGATTAGTATAAGCTGCACATACTGACCTGATAAGCAAGTGAACAGACATTAACTTCTGATTCTGGAAAAGCAGCCACATGCCTGTAGTGACCCAAACTAGAAGCTGGGGGGCGTTAGAGTAGGCCTCCCTGCTCATCTTGGGCCAAGGCTAGCCTGCACCCCGGGGGGGACGAGGGGGGGTGTGCTTGTGGGGGAGGTGCAAAACATCCTGGGATGCTGAAGAACAGAGAGTTAACTTGAATCTGGAGGGGATCTGGGACAGACGTTCAATAAACCAATTTAACCTAAATCAGTTAAATCTGATACTACATCCATCCAAGTTTCTCTTAAACCAGTTTTGGCCATTTTGAAAGCAGTTTACATGCACTGAACTTCTGTTGTTACAGATTTGAATTGGTCTCCGATCACTTATACTGATTTACATGCAATTTCTGTCCAAAGCCCTAGGGACAATAGTAAGATAAAGTCTACTGCCATCCAAAGGCTGTTCAAAGAATATTATGAAAGAAACTGATGGCCTTGGACCACTAACTAGCAAAGAAATGATATAATATAACATTAATTAGCCGAGAGACTGAAAGTCTTAAAGGCAGTTCTCTCCGACCATAGTGCAGCACACGACCAGAGCAGTGATTTAAGCACACATGCAACAGCTTATCCCTGTATTTGCAGACAATTTGAATTTCTACTGTTCTTAGTCTTTATTTAACTTTCAGGGGCACAAAGGGTATTATTAGTATTTAAATCCAGCATCCAGATGAATACTAAACTTAATGCCATCCAGGATCAAAATCACTTAAAAATTCAACCTGCTGCCTGACTGCTGGTTTCTATTAAGATTCTCCCTTCAGTAAGTGGCTAGATGCCTTCAGTTTTAATATCATTTTGATATTTCCAGAATCTAGGAGCAGCTAGGAATTAAGAATCAAAAAAGAGGAATGTAGGGGATGGGGTTAAAAACAAAAACAACTATGGTATTAGAAACAAAACAATGGCAGCCCCCTCTCTCCTCCACCCCAGGTGTTCTCAACCCTTTTAGGCTCAAGGTACCTCACATTAGACTAAAGGGACTCCTCAGAAAATGCCAGCTCTTAATTTTCCCCCTTTTTTTGACTACAGGAAAATAACAGAGCAGTTTTTCTGTTGCAAAGGATTCAGACCATAACAGGTCAGAATGTTTTTAACACTATGAATTCCTATTTGAAGACTCAGAGTTTAATCTTGTGATTCATGCTTGTACACCTAAGTGTGTTAACACTGGCAACACATAGGGGGTGCAATCAGGTGCACATGCACCCTGAGATTGGCGGTGCACCCCCTGTGGGTGGTCACTGCTTACCACCCCCTCCCCCTGACACCACTGCAGCCACCTGCAGGAGCTCCCCGCTCACGGCCATGCCCCCACTGCCAACACCACTGCTGCCTGCAGGCAGTCACCGTGCCCTGCCTCAGCTTCTGGGGGCACACGTCATTCATCTGTGTTAACATTGTGTGGCACCCCAGGGCACCCTTGAAAGTTTCTCAAGGCACCCCAGGGGACCACAGCACGTTAGTTAAGAATCATTGGTCTTGATGAAGGTCTCCGAGTTTACTGTGGCCCCCTTTGACAGGAACTCAGTGAAAACATCCTCCATGTCCATGGCTTATTTAGGAGACTAAAAGTTAGGATGGATTACTTTCTGACTGACCCTTGTATTTTGCCTAGACTAAATCAGTTCCCTTGGGATGGCATCCCTGGGAACTGAAGGCTTGTTTGATTCACAAATGTCTGCAAAGTGCTTGGAGTTTTTGCAAGAAGATAATACAAGGGGCTGCAGGATAATCTCAAAAGCAATTTTGTTTTAAGCAACAGAACTACTTACTCTGTAGTGACCTGAAGGTACAGATGTTTTTCCATTTCCTTCCATCATTTTCTCTACTGAGAAAAAATAAAGATAAGGATTCAACTTTTACAAACAAATGAATACTCTCAGCACACTTCGTACAGATGGGCTGCACTGTCAACCAAAAATCTCATTAATTTCCTAGCTGCTAGCTAGTAGCTCTGAAACTCAAAGATCAAAGGTTTCATTCTGTTATTGTTTGGCAAGGCTTTGGGTAGCAGAGAAAAAACGTTCTGAATTTAATTGCTGGAAAAGCCCCAAAACCAGATGGGAGGCAGAACAGGTACCCAGATGTTGCAGAAAGTTTTTCGGTGCAATGGCTAAGAAAGAGAATGTTTTTCTTCCTTGATGTCTAATAGCCAAAGGGAGATACGATAGAGAGAGCCACCAAGGCAGGGTTCAAAGGTGGCACCTTGGTAAAGATCCCAGTATCAGGCTGGAACTACAGTTCTCCCAGGCTATGCCCCCTCTGAGACCTTCTGACTCATTCCAGCCTTGAACTGTATGCACAACATTCAAAAGTTTGTCTTTCGCCACAAAAACCCTTGCCTCTCACATATTTCCTGGACCATCATGACTGCAACATCACTCCAGCTCTACCAAGTCTTTTGTGTCCCTATTGATCTGTAATAAGGAAGCACAGAAACCAGTTTTCCAACACTGAGGGCATTAACTTAAGGAAACAAGGTTACAGGGGTGGATGCGGGGATGTGAAGTGGCAGACACCCCCCCCCTCCATTTCAGGCCACCATACCACTGGAGCAGCCCCCAGGGACTATTTTTTCTTATGTTCCCCAAAGCAAGGAAGGATCCTGTCCTCCCTTCCCCTCTGTGCTCACCTGCGCGTCTCCTCCCTTCCCTCACCCACTATCGCTGCTGTCTCTAGCTTGGGGTGGGGGAGCTCCAGTCCTGCCCCCACCCCACCAACTCCTCCAACATCCTCCCTGCCAGCCAAGGAACAGGCATGAAGAAGGGAACCCAGCCACTACTGCCACTGCCTCTAACCCACATATAACCCAGCTGGAGAGGGCAGGAGCAGCTCCAGAGCCTCCCAGAGGCTTTGTAGCCCTCCCCTCCCTGTCCTGGGGACAGCAGCAGTGACAGGCAGGGGAGGAAAGGGCAGGAGAGTAGGGTTGCCAACTCTCCCAGCTTGGCCAGGAGTCTACCAGAATCAGCATTGATCTCCCGGTGCCTACTGAAAGCCATCCGAGAGATTTTAATAGGATATTTTTAAGAAAAATAAATAAAAATCTCCCAGAATAGCTTCAGTCACCGTTGGCAACCCTACTGGGGGGAGGGGAAACACACTGCTGAGCACAGAGGGGAAGGGGCAGGAGAAGGAACCGTCTTACCTGCTGGAGGGACTGGGACTGAGGCTGTGTATGCATGTGTGTGTGTACTGGGGCTGTGTGCAAGTGTGTGTGTGTGTGTGTGTGTGCACGCGTGTATTGGGGCTGTACGTGTAGTTGTGTACGCGTACTGTGTACGGGGGGGGCTGCGTATCTATGTGTGCGCGCGTGTGTGCATGTGTGTGCGTGTGTCGAGGCTGTGTATCTATGTGTGTGTCCCTGCAGCCCTCCCCCGCCCGGGGAAACGCGGCCTCTGCCGTCGCCGCCACTGCCGGCCCTGCCCAAACAGAGGCTGCAGGCCCACTGCCTCCTCCCCCCTTCCCATGCCCCCGGCACAGAGACATGGGCCCAAGGGTGAAGCCGGCCCCCGCACTCCCCCGGCCCCGCCGTTGTTGACCGGCCCAGGCCGCCGCCCGCGCTGCCGCTTCCGGCCCGGGCGCCGCCTCCTCCCCCCGCCCCCACCCGCGGGAGCCGCCGCCCTCCCGGCCCCACAAGCCCGTCTCCCCGGGGTGCCGCGGCCGCGCTGGGAGGCCGGCAGGAGAAACGCGGAGACTTTGACAGCCTCCGGAAAGCCCTCGGCGGCCCGCGGGGAGGGTAGCCCTGAGCTCTCTACCACACGAGTTGCGCTGGTATTTTCCTGGCGTCCCAAACCGAAGGTGGCCTTCTCGGAGAGGGGCCCTGAGTCTAGCCCGGGGCGCCTCGCGGGTCTCTATATAAAAACATTTTTAAAAAAATGTTGAGAATCGCTGCCTACGAGGCCTGTTTGTTACGCCGCTGGGGATGTGTGGGCCTAGGCCCACCAGGTGAAATAAGAAGGCTTCCTTTAAAAGGAGGCTGCTGAGGGCATAAGGCGTATTCCTCGGGACAAAATAAACCGAGGAAAGGAGCCCGGGTGGTAAGTTTGTGCTTATGAGTGCACTGAGTGGGGACACAGAGCGGAGCACCCTGGACAGTGCCTGCTGGCCCATGCCTGAGTCTGAGCCATGTCTCCTCGCCCAGATCTGGGAGTGAGAATAGGAGTTCAGGTGGCCCTTGGCAGTCACCCCCGGAACTAGATGCCTGCATCCGAACACGCTGGCCTTCAGGCATTGTTTTCTAGACCTCAAGGGAGGTGCTGACGTGTTGATTTGGAAACCTGAAATAACGCTGCTTTCCTTTCCTTGAAAGATTTCAGGGTTCTGTCCAAACCCCAGAAGCCAAGGTTTGCATTTTTGACGATGACATGCTTTGTGAGACGAAGCCATGAGGTAACGTTCAGTCATATGGCGAACCTGGTAATGGAGGACATTGTCTATTTGGTGGCAGTAGTGCCCAAGCATTTTAACATTTTATAAGCACGGGAAGACCCTTCCCAGCAGGCAGGGCTTACAGTTGAGACCTGTTAAATCTGAAGGGGAATGGTTAATTTTCGGTTCAAATATGCCTTTTTGTACATAGATGTACATTGCACTTAGAAAAGGTACCACATGCTGCAGTCCTGTTTATTCACGGCACGGTGCAGCCTGTGTAGCAGTACCTCACCATTTTCTGAATTTGACACCACCGCAAAAGACTCGATTCATCATAAGACTGCATCTAAAGCCACCTATAAATGCCTTTTTTAAAAATCTAAAGACAATACAGCTGTGAAAAAATCCCTTTTTCCTGCCTAATAGGCTTATAGTTTTTTATTTACTAGGGGTGCACCAATAAAGATTTTGGGAGCTGATACCAATAGCCAATTTTTAAGGAGGCATATCGGCCAATACCGATCTGATTTCCAATACAGCTGCATGCAGCTGGCAAGTCCATTGTGGTGGAAGGGGAAGGGGAGGGAAGGGGCATGGGAGGGGACACAGATCAATGCCTCCTGCAGTGAGTGAGGGTAGGGGCAAGGGGAGGCACTGCCCAGCTGGAGTGGGGCGGGTGCAGGACAGAGCCTCAGTTCATCAGGGTGTGGGGGGAAGGCAGCTTGTGTTGCTGCTTGCACCCCGGGAGGGCACAGGGTGTGGGGGAGGTGTGTGCCCCCAGATCTGCGCAAGGCGAGGCAAGGCTGGAGCCGGGGCTGCGCTGGGCTCTTCTTGGCGGGGGCTGGGCTTAGAGTGGGGGCTACAGAGGAGGCTGCAGCCACCCCAAATTTCACCGTAGCCCCATTCCCAGCACTGACACCTGCTCAGTGTAGTCCTGGCTCCAGCCTGCAGCTGCAGCCCACCCCACCCCACAGATCCAGGGGGCACACGCCCCACCTCCCATCCTCTCCCAGGGTGTGCTCACTGGTGGGAGCCGACCACCACAAGCCACAGCTCCGTCCTGCACCCCACCCCAGCTGGGCAGCGCCTGCCCCTGACCTTGTTCATGCTCCCCCCTCACCACAGGGGATGTTGATCTGCCCCCCCACCACCACACCCCTTCCGTCCCCTTCCACTACACTGTGTGGAGAGCTGTGCACGCAGCTCTGCACACTGCCGATCTGTGCTCCTCGCTGCCTGAGTTCTGCGCTTCAGCTGCGTGCAGACATGGCATTTATTGGCCAAATTATCGGCCTGGTTTCCGATACAGGCAGTCCTCGACTTACGGCATTTCGATCTACGGCGATTTGTACTTGTGGTGCTCTGCCATTTACACCTGTCATTACTTACGGCACTGGATCCTCGCACTTACAGCAGGCAACAACAGAGGCACCGGGGCTGGGGCGGGACGGTTACTGGAGGTAAGCTTAGGCAGCGGCTCTTCCGCGAGGCCATGTGCTCCTGGAGGTGAGACGGGGTTGGGGATAGGGACGGGGGCTGAAGCTGGCACCGGAGAACTGCTCTGCTTCCCAGCCCTGATGCCATGTGCCGCCTCACTCCCAGAGTCATGGAGAGGTGGGGACGGGGACTGGCGTGGGCTCTGCTGGCTCCGGGGAACTGCTCTGCACCCCCACATCACCTTGGGGAGCGAGGAGGCACATGGCATCAGGGCTGGGGAGCAGAGCAGTTCCCCGGAGCTGGTGGAGCAGGCCCAGCAGTTCCCCGGAGCTGGCGGAGCCCACACCAGCCCCCAGCCCTCATCCCCACCTCGCCATGCCTCTGGGAGTGAGGAGGCACATGGCGTCAGGACTGGGGAGCAGAATAGTTCCCTGGAGCTGCCGGAGTCTGCATCCCCATCCTTGCCTCAGGGAGGAGCCGCTGCCTGCCTCGTGTGAGGACTGGGGAGCTTACCTTCGGTGAGTGTCCCATGTCAGCTCTGGTGCCTCCCTTCCAGTTTTATCAATTGATTGTGTCTGGCCCATGGCCTTCTGGTTAAATCATTTATAGTTGATTAAATAGTTTATTTAAATATGTTTATGGTCATTTCTATAAAAAGTTGAGCATCAGGCCCTTGGTCAGGAATGTAACCCCCTATTTTAACATTGTTTGTATGGGAAAATCAGATTCGACTTGCATCGCTTCAACTTACAGAGCCTTTTCCAGGAACATAACTTGCTGTAAGTGCAAGGACTGACAGTACGGCCAATTTTCTTTATATCGGTACCAATCCAATATTGGACCAATGTATCGGTGCACCTCCATTATTTACTATTCACCAAAAACTGTCTTATGTGATCAGGGTGGACTTAACTTAAATTGATTTAAATTGCTGGTCAGGAAGCCTCGATTTAATCTTTGGTTTCTACAAAAAGTGCAGTCTTGTTTGATATAACCTTTGTTCAAGGCTATAGAATTAGGCTTCAGGATAGTCAGCGTACATTCTACGTTTCTCTTTAGCTCAATGTTGAGAACTTTGGCTATGACAATTCCATCTCTTTTGTCACGATACTGCTCACAAATTGTCATCAGATTAGGCCAGTTCTCAATATATCACTCAAAACAGTCCAATACTGAGTTTCATCATATGTCTTGTGAGAGTTCATTTTGTTCCTCCTGCTTTCTTCAGTGCAGCTGCCGCAAAGTGGTTGTTACCAGAGTATTTTGCAATTTCAACAAAGTTCTGCCCAAAATGTTTCTGTTTTGTTTCTACTGCCCCTCCCTCCTTGCTTTTATCTCCAGACTCCTCCTCTTTGCTCAGATCTACTCTGCCCCCAACAATCCTCTCTTTATTTAACTTCTTGAAACTCTACACTTGTAGAGAGAGGTAAGGGCTTGACTGTAAACAAATTTACAGAGAGACAAGAGGGCTGATGGGTAGGTAATCAGGTCTGTTATTTCTCATCTCCATATACTGCTGTTAACAAGGATATTCTCTCTGGAGACAAATCCACAGTTTGAGAACTGAAACTAAGCATCACCAAGATGCTTAATGGGATCTTCTAGAGTACACTGAGCCCCATTGGGTAGAATGGTTTTCTTTAATCTTTACTAATCTATAGAGGAGCATCTGGGGACCCCATAAGATTGGGCCCCTAATATAGTCCATGGCCTGTTGTGACCTATTTATAAAACTTTTTCTAAAAAGGTTATATGAATATATTGTCTCAAATAGTACATCAATAGAAGTTATAATCCCAATTTCATGCTGATATCTTTAAGCATTAACATATCTTAAAACTATATAGTTTTTTTTTAAATCTTAAGAAAAACATCAAAATACAATTAAATCAAAAAATCTGATTTAAATAAAAATCTAATTTTTTATTTATTTTAAATTGTTGATTTGTATTCACCCTGTATATGAAGTACTGTAAATTGTTCTGAAACCTTGGATATCATTGTAGTAGAGGATATGGAGACAGGCCTCTCCCAAGTTAAAACCTTATTTATATTTCACTTATTTATATTTTAAGCCAGAAAAGCAGAACCCCAAAGCAGAACTGAATGAAATCTCCAGAAGCCCTTCCCTGTGCCATAAAGAAAAAATGGATGTAAGTATAGGCTTAAGGTGTTACATCTGCAAGGGCTTAATATGTATTTTCTCAGTTTGTTTTGGAAATTAAAAATAATCTAGTCTGGAAGTCCAAGAACGGCCAGTGTACACCAGTAGGCTCTGATCTTGTAGATGTTTCGTTTGGACAAGCAGTCTGCAAGTCACCTTCCCATTTTCAGATGCGATGGGGTGCCCTTATTATGTTGGGCACCCCATCGCATGATTCTGATTCTTCCCTTGACAATTACATTTTCTTCTCTCAACTGAACCTGTTTCACTCTTGCAACATGCCTTGGGGAGAGAGACATCCATATTTGCAACTCTAGCTCTACCAGATGTTTTCTGGTCCTAGTGTAAGTTGTTTTCACTTCAGTGATACACTCTATGCACTGCCTTTCAGATGTCCTTCTATCTCAAGAAATGCTTATCAATTCTCTCTGCCCATTTTCCCATAGACTGAATCAGAGGCAACCACCTATTTTCCATTTTCTGTGCGCTGCCTCTGCCCCAGATACTAGCAGGAAAAGCAAGGAGTGGTTGACACCTCACCTGCTCTGCACTGAACCCTGTCTGCCCACCCAAATATGTATGAAAAGAAGGAAGGGTGTGGACCTTAAAGGACCACTTCTATTACTCTCAGTAGTAAAGTTAAGCATACTTATACATGTTTACAGTATTGTGGCCTAGATTTCTAACAGATAAAACAAGCCAGGGTGAAGAAAAAGGCAAAACTCTTTCTTCCACAATGATGGAGCTAAATGACATGCTCTCCTTCTGCAAGTCACATGTAAACCACCTCTGTTCTCAAATGCTTCTAAGAGCCACAGCATGTGTTCTTTCTAAACTAAAGACTATGGCTTATATCTTGGATCCCAACTACTGCTTTAAGATTGTTTTTATGCTAAGATTTATTATTTGTGAGAGAGTAATATATTTTTGGAGGGGAAGGAGGCTGAGAGGATGAAAGAAGACATGCAAGGAAAAAGAAACTCCTATTCCTCACCTTTTCACAAAACAGGAGGATTTGATTTTAGAATTCTAAGCTTTTAGCCAGTCTTCCATTTGCTAAGCATAGTGCTGAACCATAGTGCTGTTTCATATAGTTTTCAGAAGGAGCAGGGCCAAGTCCCATGTCTTTTTCAGACCAATTTAATAACCCTTTCCTGTTGTATTTATCAGTTCTATCTTATTAGACATATTAAACTGTAAAGTAGTGTTTAGCATCATCTGAACACATCTTAGTGTACTTTTAAAGTTTTCATTATTGTACCCAGTAAGGAAAATGGAAACCCACATATGTTGCCTTGAGCAGTTTTGGCTTCAGTACCCTGGCTTTATTCTACCTGTTGACTGAAGTGTAAATTAATTGATGTATGAGAACAGGTGATGCTAAAAAAATGGCCTCTGATCATTGGAGTGCTATGTTAGCAGCTTTCCCTGCTGCTAACCCAGAAACTCCTGCGCAAGTTGGGCCAGAGTTACACCAAGGGCTAGTTTTGCACTATCCCACCTATGCCCACAACATTGTTAAGAAGGATGATGGAAGAGATGAACACAGAAATGGGAGTACTAAGGTTAGAAACTGTGAGTTTTCTGTAAAACCTAAAAGTACAGTGCACGCTTTGCTACAATTTTGATGTTACAATAAACATAGCTGCAAATGTGCCCCCCCTTCTATAGCAGGTGTTCTGAAACTTGTTCTCAGGGCAAACTAGTTTTGGAAGAAAAATTATGTCAATCTTCTGCCTCCTTGTTCCCAGCTATGTGCTAGCTCTCACATTCTTGATCCCATAGCTTGTATGTGGAATCTGCTCATAAACAGGGATCCTAGTTTTCTCTGATAAAAAAAAATCCCCAATTTTCAGATTAAAAAAAGTAACCCAAAATAAACATTTTTCCATGATTAAAATGAAACAGTATATAAAGTGGTATTTCATTTTAATCAGGGAAAAATGTGGATTTTGGGTTACTTTTTTTAATCCGAAAATTGGGGATTTTTATCAGAGAAAACCAGGATCCCTGCTTATGAGGTAATTTAGCCAAGACTGTGACTAGCCAGTTCTTTGGAACTATCAGCAAGCAGGCTGGGTTCTACAGATAGTCTGCGTCACAATTTGAGAACCAGTGGCTTAACCAATCATGTTTAAAAAAAACAAAAAAAACCTAAGCTGACTGTCATACTGACATTACCAACTTTATTTGCAGTGGCTGGAAATGGGGAAGGAACTAAGCTTCAGGAAACTAGCAGAGGGTTCAGACTGCCCAGAACATCTGAAGTACAGCTTCAACATAAAAGGTGAACTGAGGCATCTAGATACCAATGAACCCTTTGTCTTTAATTACTACAAAAATGCACATGAGAACAATCATAAACGCTATCAGATGTTAGGATATCTCATTGAACAGTATGTTTATCAACTGCTGGAAAGAGCATGCAAGCTGCAGAGAGTCCACCTTCCAATAGATGCTACAGAGAACGAACCCAGGAGTTTCTTTTTCATGAGTGAGAAAGCATTAACAAATCCCTCAAGCCTAGTTGTCCTTCTACAAGATCGTGGAGTTTTTCGGGCTGGGCAGTGGGGTCAGAAGACCATAATTCATGAGGGCCTGGAGCATGGAACTCAAATACCATTCATCCAAATGGCTCTCCATGACTATGGGGGAGTTATTGTATTAAATCCCAATGACAATTTTATTGATATGAAGATGGAGGAGGAACGCTTGAGTTTCTTAACTAAGGGAGAATCACTGTCCAATAGCCAATCCATGGGACAGATTCCAAAGAGATGCAGCAGCAGCCCTGAAGAACATACCATTTATGTCTGGGATCATTTTATTTCATCCAAGAGTTTAGCCAAGAATGTAGCCTTCATTGCTCATGGCTATGGAGGCTTGGTTTTCATCAATTTGCTCATGCAGAGGAAGTGGGAGGTGATGAGTAAAGTGTATTCTGTGGCCTTTATTGACTCCATGCACCACACACAACACCAGGTGGGAAGCAATCCAGAAATGCAAGAATGGATACAGAAGCACTGTCGTGAATGGGTAACAAACAGTAAACATTTAGATAGGCCCACAGGTTCCCTTGTTAAAGTGGATTGTCCTAAAGTCTCTGCAGGGACTGAAAAATACACCTTAGCTCCCTCCTACAGCTTACAGGCCATCTTCAAGTACCTGAAGAGCACACTGAAAGCAAAGAACGTGGTAGCTTCCCCTCGTTCACCTATTAAAACAAGGAGCACATCAAGTAAGAGATGCAGTAAATAAGGGGATGTTGAATTTTCATAACCCTCATCCCATGCCTAGCTCTGAAAACTTGAAACAAAAGCTCTTCTTGTAGTAGTTTTGGTATTGAATTTCTGAACTTTTTTTCTGATTCCTTGCTTCCCCCCCTGCCAGGCAGAAAACATTGTGTTAGAAAAGGGTTGATATAATTCTTTTCATAAAAATGAATTGTGCTTTTTAAATGGATGCCTGTAAACTGTTCCAAAATTTAAAGGGTGCAAAGTAAAGATCTTAAGGTATATCTGGTTTTCTTTACAGTGTTTTTGGAAGTTTATATGGATGCACACTGATCTAATTGCACTTTACTATTAGCAACTCAGGTTTCCTTGAGTATATATACAATTTTACTGTCAAGGGCAATTTGGCATAGGGGATTAATGCTAATAACCTGTATGTTTGTGTCAGCTTGCGCATAGCTCTTCAGGGCTGTTCATTATGTATTTACCAGTATTTTGCCCTGTCTTGTTTTGAAAGTCTCACACTGGAGCTTTCACCTCTCCCCTTGGTACATTTTTCCTGAGCCTAAAGAGACTTCACCAGACCATACACTGCTCCTCTCCTCCAGTCAGGGATGAGATGCTCTAAATATAATATAGTTGGATCAAATTAATCCCCAGGGTAAACCACTGAGATTACTTGAGTACAGAATTTGTTCTATTATGCATCTCCTTTCAGACTGAATGATTGTGAAAAATACTTTATTCTAGTTAAACAGGAACCACATATGTAAAATAATATTGCTACTTACTCTTAAAAGAGAGTAAGGCTTTCCCTTTTAAACTTTTGCTCAGTCAGTTTGACTTCTGCATCAAAGGACTCTCTTCTTTTCAAGAACAGACCTTATTTATCTATTTATTAATTTACATTGAAAAAAAAAAAGACAGTGCAATGTGTAAAATGGAAGCAGTTTTTAAAGGAATGAGAGAGAGGCTGTTCTTAAGCAAAATGGTGACAAAATTCTAAAACTATATATAATCATGCTTTAATGCAAACTATTCTCTAGTCAACAGGGTGAGATGGCTACACTCTGAAAGCACATAACCTGTCACTATCTCATAACTCCTATATATTGTATTTTTACAGGAAAGACTATGGGCACTACTCATGTAAGTAAAGCACACAGCTTTATTTAAAGGACAATATTCAATGACAGATTGTTTGTCTTCAACAGATGACCAATAAGATCTTCAACATGAAACCACAAGCTTTTAAAAGTTCTTTTTTTATGTCTTGTGGTATCAAATGTGGCAAATATTTTAAGAAAATTGTCCACAACTGTTGCAGTTTCAGTGTTTAGCCATCTAAATTGTTTAGTCATGTCAAATTCCTTGATAGAGAAGATCATATTTGGGAATATTCCTATGATCAATAGGGCTCTGTACAATAAGTTTTCCACGCATTGCTCCACGATAAATCACTTCAATCAAGTCTATAAAGTCTTGCTTTGTTTTGAAGCTCCCCACAAATTTAGTGTGATCTGGAGACCTATGAAGCAGATAAAGATAAATGGAAACAAAAATGTCTGTTAAAATGAATGAAGAACTTTTTAAAGACAAGCAAACATATATACATGAAGCATTTTGATTTAGGGTGCAGCCACACAACAGGATTATAACAGGGTAATTTACAACAGATTTAATTCTGCAGTAGATCTCCACCATAGCAAGGAGCAGACACGCAACTCCCCTGAATTGGCTGCTTTCGGAAGTCACTGTTATATTGTCTGGCCAGTAGGTGGTGGGAGCTGACTTGCATGGAATGAACAGCTACTTACAGGTTAAAACTGACTAAAGGAGTGGACACAGTCCAATTTGCTAGTGTAGCATATGCCAGCATTTCCTTACTCCTCACTTTCTGAGGGGTCCTTTTAAATGGAGTGAATTACACCAGTGTAAGGCTGCATGCTGTGTATCCATACCATCTCCATTGCAGAGTGAGTTCTATGTATTCTGTTGTAAAGAAGCCATGTGTATACATCCTTAGTCACACCTGTGGCTTGAACAACTCTTGTATGACACGTATGAATGATGAGACGAGGATACTTTAAAGACCTCTAAAACTTAGAACAATGCTGTGTAATGGCCAAAAGTCTAATGCTAATGTGTGCAGAATCACAAACCGCATTTCATAAGGAGAGTATATCAGACAATTTCATAAGCAGAGTATATCAGAGAATTTGCTGCAGAATGATAAATGTGAGGGGGTCCTTCAAAATGGAAGGGGTGGTCTACCCTATTCATTCCTGGCCTCCTGCATGGTACTGCTGCTAGCAAAATGAAATTATAAATATAGTAAGTTAGCACATGCAGAGAATGAGCTAGTTATGTTACACATGAGATGGCAATATGCAAGCCAACATACCCATAATCCACTTTCATGTGCTGTCCATTGAAGAAAAAAACAGTAGACGGAATATAACTGATGTCAAAATACTGGGTATACACTGGTACCTTGTTCACATCCACCAGGTAAATGGTTGCCATTTTACTTAGGTCCTGAGATGTCTTTGCAAGCTATTGAGATTGGAAAAAGACAGGTAGTAAAAAAGATTCTGAAACACGAGAAGGTAAAACATAGCCTGCTTTTAAGCACAACTATAATTCATGATTCTCCTGTTTAATAAAGACAGAGAAGAATTGGGGAAAAACAGAGTTCTATTCTTAAAAATATATTTGATAATTAATTCATATTCGATTCTTCTTGGATTGTTGCTTTGAACATATGCTTTCTTCCATACCAAACTTTTGTTATTACTGACAAAATATTACTCCACTTAGTTTCATGCATGAGTAACATGATCTAGCATTTTAGCATGAAACCTGGAAACAGAAATGTCTGATTTCTAAAACAAAGTGCACCACTTCCTATATGGCCGCCAATGAGTAAACTAATTTTATCTGCATGCAGCTACACTGGGAAAAATTTAAGCAAGCGTCACAAACTAAAGATTATATATAAATGTTTGCAAATAACTTTTCATTTTCAAAGTTATTTGCAAACAACACCATGTGTTGCATCATCCCTATTAGAAGAGTGAAGGACATTGTTTTAATGCTTTGTCTAGTCTTAAATAGCTAGATATTAATTCCAATTTGCATTGTACTAGTTCCATTTCATTGCTATGATAATAATTACATTTAAGTCCAATGTGGTTCTTAGGGTGTTTTATTTTAACACACTGTTTAATTCTGGTGGACCAAATGTGTATGCAATATTCAACACAGTATCAAAAACAAGTTCTTTTTATAAGTGCACTTACAATATCATCCAGTTGCAGACAAACAGGATCCTCATCTCTCCCAAATCGAAGAACCAAAACTTTTTCTGCTACGCTTTTTATTGCTTGATCCACTTCTTTTTTACTAGTCAGTTTTGGCAGCAGAAAACTCATTTTGCTTGAAAATGGCTCCAGAAATCAAGCACTGTATCTAAATATTAAAAAAAAGGCTGTCAATTGGAAAAACTACCTTCCTGCAACCAATACACAAAAAATATGCTTGTCTAGACATTGCCCCATCTTTAATGGTTTAATGGTTTGCTGGATGCTTTAATTGGCTTAAAGGACAGTCTAATATGCGAGTATGTTGATGCACACCCACACACCCAGGCTGAGGACCTGGCAAGCATCAAGGATAAAGCAGTTGTGTGGCTCTGTCACATTAATGATGGATAGAGGGGAAAATGAAGTATACAAGAGAAAAAGAAGAATGGTTTGCATTAGGCAGCCCAACTTCTTAGGATTTCTTTAAAGGAGCAGGGAACTCCTCCAAGTGCTAGAAATAATTATATTCATGAGCTAAAGATGTGCTCCCACCTTGTACAGTACAGGCAACCCCACTTAGCGCCCTTAATTGGTTCCAGAGAAACTGAACGCTAAGCAAAACCGTGATAGGTGAAACCCGTTTGCCCACAGGAATGAATGTAAATATGGATAATTGGTTACCGTGGCTTCTTGCCACTGTCGCTCCCCATCAGCCTGCTGGCTACTCCAGTCCCATGTGCCAGCCCAGGTCTGCTTTCCTGCTGCCTTACCCTGGGCCCCCACCAGCTCTGGCCCTGGGCACCAATGCAATCCCTGCGCTAATGCCCACACCCCTAGTCACCGCTTCTCACCACCACCACCTCTACCCACCCACCCACCATGCCAGCCTGGGCACCAGCACTCCTGCTGCCCTGCTCTGGGCATGGGCGCCTGCCGGCCCTGGCCCCTGCACTCCTGCTGCCCCACCTTGGGTGCAGGTCCCCACCAGCCCTGGCCCTGGGCACCAGCTCTGCACTCCTCACCGCTGCCGCTGCTTCAGCTGGTGAACTCAGGAGGTGGAGCATGCCACAGGAGCAGGGTGGATGTTTGCAGCCGGCCGGGAGCAAGGGGGATTTGCAGTGTCCCCGCTGTGTGCCCGGCCAGCTGTAAACCCCGCCCTGCTCCCAGCTGGCTGCAAAACCAATTTTGGTTTTGCAGCCAGGGGGGATCAGCAGGCATTGGGGGAATCACTGTTCCCCCGAGCACCGCCAGGAGTGACCAGGAATAACGGTCACAAGCTGGCAGAGGGTAGGTTTAGGTTAGATATCAGGAGGTGCTACATCACGGTCAGGGTGGCTAGGGTCTGGAACCAACTTCCAAGAGAAGTGGTGCAGGCTCCTACCCTGGGGGTTTTTAAGAGGAGGTTGGATGAACACCTTGCTGGGGTCGTTTGACCCCAGTACTCTTTCCTGCCATGGCAGGGGGTCAGACTAGATGATCTGCTCAGGTCCCTTCCGACCCTAGAAACTATGGAACTACGAAAACCACATCCCCTCCCATGGGATTCTCCACCGTCCCGCCAGTCTGTATTCAGCAGTTGTGCCTGGCTTCTCCCCACCCCACCATGCTCACGCCCACTCACCACACTTGCTGCTGCTACCACCACTGCTCCTTCTCTCCACTTTCCCACCAAAATTCCACTGAGCACTATAGTGAAACTCACTGAACGCTGAGTGAAACCTGGTATCAATTTTAAATGAGCGCTATAGCAAAATAGTGCTAATTGAAACCACATTAAGCGGGGGCTGCCTGTAAACCTTTTCAGTCCTGTTTATCATACTATCTGTCTACCATGTGTATAGCTATACACATACATGCTGCTATAATGATAAGCAATTTTCAAACTACTTAAAGCCAGAACTAATGTCAAAGAAGGTATTTGCAAAAGAAATGCTGGAAATAACTGACAAAAATATGGGAAAGAAAAGGACAGTTGTAAGCAGTCACGGAAAAAAGCAGGTCTAAGACAGCAGCAGAAGTAGAAGTTTGTCATTGAATTTGACTAGTCTAGTCATATAAAAAAGAAAATTAGTAAGGTATGGTAAGCATCCCCAGCCCCAGCACCTGCCCCAGGCCCACTGAAGCCCCACTGAAGAATATATATACGTCCTTGGTACTAAACATATGTTGCGCTCAAGAAACCTGCCACAGGACACACATTTTACATTCACAATCCCAATCTTTGTGGAAAGCTATGTCAGTTCATGTCAAATGAAGACCTCCACCAAATGATAAAAGTTTGCAGCATAAGAAAAAACCTTTTAGATTCCCTAGCCCAGTAAAGGCCAACCTTTTTGGCAGGCATGCCACAAACTAGCTCTGCACCCTCCCAAGTGCAACTCCGATCACTTTCCTCTGCCTATTATGCTGCTCTGCCTTCTCCCTGATCTATGCTCCCTGCCTGATTTGCTGCTTTCCTTTATGCATCCTATTAGAGGTGCACTGATATATCGGTGCCATGTCAGATTGGCACCGATAAGAGGAAAATTAACATTATCGGCTACCAGCTTTTTTAGCCAGTGTAGCTGGTTACGTCCCTGATAAATATAATATGCCTTCTGGCTGTGGCCCCCAGACATAGTGTGCATGTGCACAGCCACAGCATGCACATGGCCAGGAATGCAGACAAGCAGCATGGAGAGCACTGCCCTGCAGGTAAGTCTGTGGACGGGAAGGGGCATGGGGGAGGCAGATCAAGGCCCCCATGGGGAGGGAGGGAGGGAGTGCAGCAGGGGCTGGGGGCTCTGCTCAGCCAGGGCGGTGAATGGGGCCACAGGGCTGGGGCGGGGAGCAGGACAGAGCTGTGAGCACCTTGTCCAGCGGACACAGGGAGGGTGGTTGGCTCCCTGACATGCACACCACCTGGGGGAGACATGGGGGGGGGATGTGCCCCCCAGATTTGTGCGTGGGGCAAAAGCAGGCTGCATGCTGTAGGTTCAGGGCTGTCTACCCTGCTGCCTTTGCTCCAGGATCCATGCACTGGTCACATGTCCCCTGCCTTTCCGGTGGCAGTGGCACGTTGTGCCTCCCGCTCCCGGACAGGCAGGGGATTCACGGCCAGTGCGTGCCAACTGGGGCAAAGGCAGCAGGGTACAGAGCCTCAAGCCTGCAATGGGCAGCCCACCTCCACCCTCGCCCCGCTTGGCTCCTAAAAGCATCCCTGTCCTTAAAAATGGTGGTGTCAGCGCTTGAACTAAAGCTTATTTGACAAACTTTAGTTTAAGTACCCCCACTGCCATTTTTAAGCTCTAAAACGTTGATCCCCTGGACAAGCTGCCAGTGGCTCCATCCTGCTCCCCGCCCTGGCTGGTCCTGGGTCCCATTCACTGTGCTAGCTAAGCATCCCCAGCCCCTGCCCCAGGCCCCACCTGCCCTTCCCCCTCCCTCCCCTGTGACCCTTCCCCAACACAGACTTATCTGCAGGAAGCTGATGTCCACACTGCACAGCTGTGCTCCTGTAAATCAGTTTTCAGATCAGTATCAGCCAGTATGCCTGGTGAACAATCAGCTATTGCTATTGGCCAAGAAAATCTTTACTGGTGTACCCCTACTTTCTGCCCTATCTACCACTGTGCTGCTACCCAGTCCCGAGTCAGCTATACACCTCACACAGAGGCTGCCCATGCCACCTGTGCTGCAGGTTGGCCACCCCTGCCCAGTTCATCACCTTGCAAGGATTATTCCCTTCTAGAGCATTGTCTAGTCTTAAATAACCAGTTCCATATGGCTTCTGACACTTTTTCCTTTGGCAACCTGTTCTATGTCATAATATAGCTCACTGTGAGGAGGCTATTTTTCCCCTGAGAGTCACCCTTTAGCATCTTCTTCATTTTAGCCTGTTATTTTTATTATACTCCCAGAGCCTGAACTAAGCCATCCCCCAACCCCCTACTGCACCAAGACTTATACGAGTCAGTATGTCTAGATCAGGGGTGCTCAACCTCTGGCCCGTGGGCCAAATCCAGCCCAGGAAGCCATGGCATCCAGCCCTGTGGCGGGTCCAACCCCAGCCATGCCCCTTGCCCACCCCCTGCACAGCCAGCTTAAGGCTGGCCCCTTCCCCCCACAGCACCAGACCTCGACCCGGGCGGCTTAACGGAGCCCCTCTGTGCCTGACCTGGCATCACCAGCCAGATCCTACCTCTGGGCTCCCCCCCACCCCGTGCTGGCCGGACCGCAAGGAGGCCGCGCAAGACCTGGAGTGGGGAGGAAAGAAGGGAGGAACCTCAGTTCGCAGCCGCGGGGCCCGGAGGACCGGGAGGGAAAGGACGCACCAGACCCGCAGGAGCCGCTCGACCTCTGGGACCCCCGCCGCTCATGCGCAGAAACTGGCCTCTGATTAGTTGCAATGCAATGTAAAGCTTAGATTCTCCGCAGACCGCGGCGTTCAACTTCTCCCGAAAGGCGCGGGTGTGTCGCCGATATCCCTCCGGTCAGGACCGGAAGTGCGGCCTGCCGCAGTCCCGCGAGGGCACTGGTTCTAGTTCCGGGGGGGCAAGTGGCACAGCGGCGGCGCTAGGTATGCCGTCTCTCTTCCCTCCCCACCCAAGGCCAGTCTCCGCCGGGGGCTGGCGGCAGCGCATTTAGCTGCGGGTAGCGGGGACAGTGAGGGCTGCACCTTCCCCCGGCTCCGGGGGCTCCGTGACGTCACAGAGGGCTGGAGCGCGGGGTGTCCGGCCGCTTGGACTCGTGCGCTGCATTCACCTGGGTTCCACGCGAGCCTCCCCGGTCATTCTTAGGGCGCGAGCGGGCTCCTCGTTGGCTCGTTTTCTGATGAGCACGTGCGAAACTTCCAAATGTTTGTTTGTTTTGTTTTTCAGCAAAGTGTTTCTCTTCTGATCTCCCGTTCATCTAGATTCCCTGCAAAAGGCCTTTTTTTGAAGAGCTTTCAGCCAGGCAAGCGTGTTGAGTGCTGGGCAAGCAAGAGAGGTAAAGTAGCCTTATTAAAGTATTTGGACTGTGTTCACTGCTAGGATAAGCTAGCGTCTCTGTTGGAGCGATGCCAACATGTGTGCAGCTTGTGCAGGAGTGGCTGTCAAAACCATCTGTCTTTGAGGATGGTTTCAGGAAACTTGTCTCACTGGCATGCATGTATGTAGGCAACTGTGTAGAGAGTTGTGGTCCAGTAAATCTTGGTTGCAGGCAAAAATGGTTTTATTTTGGAACTGCTGTTTCTTTTTTAAATGTGTGTGTCTTGTGTTTCCCTTCAGCTGTCCCAATCAGCATGGATGATAAAAAGCCCCTTATATTAGATCTGCATACAGAGTAGATGGGAGGTGCAGGAGGATGCTGCAGCTCTGACTCTGGCCCTGACCCTACAGCTGCTGCCCCTGCCCCACACCTTATTGTCAGGTGCACCTCGGCTCCTGCTCAGGTTGGATTCCCTCACAGGCACTGAATACTGAGTACTCCAGCTCCTGCCCAGTCGATCAGCAGCACCTATGCTGCTGCTTGGGGCTCCTACATGCTGTGCTAAAGGGAAAGAGGAGAGGGGCACAGGCCATGGGAAATTGGGGGTTGGTGTGGGGGGAGGGTTGGAAGGCTTCAGGGGGAAGAAGTGACTGGGGGTAGAGGGCAAGGGGGTTCCCCCCATGCTTTTGCCTCCCCTCCCCCCACCCACCACCACTGCTTTCCCTACTGTAGCAGTCTGGGGTAGGGGGGGGATGAATTCAAGACAGTCATTCAATTTGTTAGATTGCGCATTTGGAAAATTTAAAACCATTTACTTCTTTTTTTTTCCCGCCTATATGAAACCTAATGGGGGTCACCTTAAATTTGGGGTTGTTTTCAATCTGAGTACATACAGTAAAATAGATACTGTGAAATAAGAATTATTCTTTTAGAATTTGGAAATCATTTTTTACTTACTTTTCAAATTTTGAAAGCCAAAGTTTGACTTTCTTAAGAAAGATATTGGTGACTTTTTTTTAGGCCTAATTCATCACTGTTTAAGCAGGAATATGTAACTTTACTTGGTGAGGACAGCCCAGTGAAATGAATGGGAATACTAATGTGAATGAAGTTACATGTGTGCTTCAGTTTCTGCAGCCTTTAGCTTCAGTTGTTCACAGTACATGTATAGCACACATCTTTGTAAAAGTCTAAGCCTAAGTGAGTGACTATATAGTCTTGGTGGGAATTTGCAATGAGAGCTTTTCTATAATGTAACATTAAAAGGAGAAATGTTTTTCCTCTGACATCAGGGTATCCCAGCAGCAATGCTTGTGCTGCCACATCACAGTTGAGTTTTGCTTGTTACAGACTTGCTTATGACTTGAGTTTCTATGCTTTATTGAAAAAAGCAGTGGAAATGTCTGTTCATTGTAGCATCAAACAAGAAAATTCATTGTTTTCTTGATTCTGTGAAAGTCGCCATCTCTGAAATCATTTGTGGTATCTGGGTAGCATAGTGCTTACTCCCATCGCTTTTTTCTGTCTGCAGTCTGACATACAAGATTGCTTTGAAATTGAGAAAGCTGAACATGGTTAACTGTTGTTCAACTTGACAATAAGATGCATCTATATTTTGCTCTTTTAAAGAGCAAAGTTATTGATCGCTTCCTCTAGCAGTAACATCAATTTGATTTCCCTTTTAAAGCCAATGAAAAAAAGTTAAGTGAAATACTGTAGTGTTTTCCTGGGAATATAAAGAAGTGAGCTTTTGTTCTTCAGGATTTGTAAGATTGACAGGATTTGAGGTATTCGTATGTCTTTGACTACTGATGTATTTTTTTTTCTCTTTTTGTCTTATTACCATTTTGGCAGGTAATTGTTTGGATGCAGCATAGTCCCAACCATGAGCATTTTCAATATGCTTCTGAGAAATGTTGTCAAAAGTTCTGTCTTCCCATTTGCCATGAAGGAGAGAAGAAAGAATGGCTTGTTTTTAACATGTTTCTATAAACCATTTCTACATAGAACTCTGAATTTGTCACCTTACTTGAAGGACGTTGAACCTAACCCCCCTCAGAAACTAGATTTGGATGAATGGAAAAATATTATGCGAGCAGAACAGCAAAAGGAAATCTGTGAGCCTACATCCAAATGTGAGGAGGATTCCGCTTTAACTGCCATGCGGGAGTTTGTGGAGATGCGGAGGCTAGCTGGCAAACTTATTCCCAAAAATATAACTGAAGAAGAGTTAAAGACCCTTATGGAACTTACCACAAAGTCATCAAAACTTAAATATTTGAAATTCTTAGCTATCAGAGAGAGAAAAAGAAATGCCAGGAACACAAAGAAGGAAGAGAGACGGGAACAAAGGAAGGAACTGCTGGGAGAGGTTGAGAACAGGGATGCTGATGACCTACGGAATAGTTTCTTGGTCGGGTTCCGCGCCAAGTCTCTGGACAACTTGCATAATTGGAGGGCTGCATACGCTATGATCTTCGGCCAACCTCTGGTATTCGATATGGTTTTTGAAAACTGCATGTCAGTCATAGAACTGCAGAACGCAGTGAAACAGATTATGGAAAGTGAAGGGTATAATCGAAAATCTGTAGATCCGTTCCACTTACACTTCTGTAACCTCAGTGTAGATGGGTTATATATGAAGGAGTTTCGCAGGTCCTATGGAAAGACATGGGACAATTTACTTGTGACAGAGACAGAACACTGTTACACAAAGCTCTTTCCAAGAGACAGGCTCATCTATTTAACACCTGAGTCCCGTAACATAATGAAGACATTTGAACACAATAAAGTTTACATAATTGGGTCACTGGTGGACAAGGGTGGACAGAAGGGAGCTAGCTTGGCTGAAGCAAAGCGGCTGAATCTGGCAACTGCTAGGCTGCCCCTGGATCTGTACTTGCGGTGGAATATAGGTGGAAAAAATCTGACGCTGGACCAGATGATTCGCATTTTAATAACTTTAAAAGACACCGGTGATTGGAAGAAAGCTCTGCAGTTTGTTCCGAGAAGGAAACATGGTGGTTTTTGTGGGAACTAGAACTGTCAGTACCTAAAAACTTTTAAAAAAACAGCTGCCTGAAATGAGATGCTGTGTATAACCTGGCTATTTCAGCTATTTACCCAGAAGCTTATTAATCATCTTGTTCAAACATCTCTAGGAGGATAGTCTTTGATTACCAAATAAAAATTTTACTGTATGTGAATTTTATTTATTTATTTATTTGACAGGGGAGAACATAGCTTCATTTAAAGCTGGCATGGGCAGTGATTCGGGCCTGTGGGCCACTCAGGGAATTATAGGCAACTGGCATGGGTGGGGTCACACTCCCCAGCAGCACAGGGCAGCCCAGGTATGGTGCTGGGGAGGAGCCTCAGGGCAGCTGGAAGGGTCCTGGCACGTGCGCGTGTCCCTGCCACCCTGTGCCCAGTGTTAGACACAGCCAATTCAGGGGGGTAGGCAGGACTGCTTCTCTCTGTCTCTCCTTCCCACCCCACACTATGCTGCAAGCCAGGTACTTCTGCCTGCAGTGTGACATGCGAAGGATTTGAAGCTGGTGGAGCAGGAGCAAGGCTGTGTTTGATGGATGGACGGATAGGTGCACATACATTCTTCTGCAAACAAGTAAACCCCTGCTCACTCCTAGCAGTTACAGCCCTGTACTTTCCCTTTGAAAGCCAATGGACAGAATAATAAGAAAATGACGGCAAAACTGGGTGCAGCAGGCAGACCCCGCCAGGGGCTGAGCATAGGCCTGGGCCCACACGTGGCGCTACTGCCAGGGGAGAAGCAGCCTGGCTGATGTTCCCCCACAGAGTAGGCCTGGCTGTTTAAGGGCCTGGTGGGCTGCTCACTTTCTCCTCCCCATCCTTGCTCGAGCCTGCTGCGCGCGCCCTTTTCCCTGCCCAATCAGAGAAAGGCTTCCCGCTCTTTGCTGTGGCGCCCAACCCTGCCCTCCCCGGAAGTGCGTATGCCTGGCCTCGAGCATTCCGGCGCTCCCCCGGAAATCATCCAGCCGCGCGCGTAGTTAGGGGGGGTGTGTGACACCTTCCGGCTAGACGCGTTGCAGCCGCCGCCACCTCCCATCTACTGTGGGGAAGGCGCGCGAGGGTTGAGTCCTGGCTACTGCTCATGCGCAGAAGGGCGGAGGGAGGCGGCGGGGGAAGATGGCGGATGGCAGAGAGGCCGAGGAGCAGCCGAAGCGGCCGCAGCCTGGAGGAGGTGAACACGCAGCGCCGCTCCCAACTCCGGGCGGGCCCGCCGGGAGGGGGGTGGCCTGGGCCCGAAGGTGCGAGCCAGGGGAGAGGTCGCCGTGCTGCCCCACCGTTGCAGCGGGAAATGGCGTAAAAGGGGGGCGGGCTGACTTGAACGAAGGGGCCGGGTATTGTCCAACGGTATAGGTCGATGCAGGTATAAATGGAGACAAAACTGGTGGCATAAATAGATGTGTAATATATATAGGATCAAAAATTTTATGAGACCAACTAGATCATTAAAAAAAAATCCTTTTATGTGCAAGCTTTGGGGCACAGGAGATGCAAATGATCTCTGGTGAAACATGGATTTTCATTTCTACCAAGGAGAACTTTGACAACCTTTGCAATCTCCTATACGGTTCTCCTAGGTAGAAATGAAAACTCATGTTTCGCAGGAGATTATTTGTATCTCCTGGGCTTGAGGAAGGGTGAGTGTGCCGGAAAGCTTGCACATCAACTAGATATTCACAAGTAAATGTCTTTTGTTTCATAAAAGATATCACGTCTGCCATCAGTTTTGATTCTTTTTGCCTCTAGACAAATACAGCTACAACTGGGAGACCAGGTATAAATAGAGATATTCAATTTCTGAATTATCCTCTCCCCCTCCTCTCCCCTTAACCAGCAGGCTGCCCTGTACTAGCACACATGTGTTTTGTAACCAAATCAGCAGCCAGGCCATGGATGCTGGGAGAGGAGCAGGACCACTTGCAAGAGTAAGAACACTTAAGGAAGAGGGCTCCTTTTCTTTTTTGTTAATAGTATGGCAGCTTCTTGCATTCGAATAATACAAACAATTCTCTCGCACCATTTTACACATAATGGCTGCTCCTCCCCTCCCCCTCCTACTCCCCAGTATCCGTTTGGAAGGTTTCTATTACGTTAAAGAAAGATCTAGTGCTTAAGCTGGGCATTGGTATCTCTCGGCATATCATTTAACGTTAGTTGACTTGGGAATCCTAAACTAGAAAAGGAGGAAAAAGGCTCAGAATCCATGTACAGCCCCATACCCCTTTCTGGCTTTAGATGCAACTCTTTCACTAGTAAGACTCCAGGTAGGGCCAGTCTTTGGGTGATTCGATGGAAGGTGAAATGAACCCTTAAACCAGTTGATATAGGCTCAACACATGACTGAGACTTAATGTTAGTATGCAGGTGTTGCCATTTTAGGTTCTCACATGTATCATTTTCTTGGCTCAAAAATTAGTTTCATGTAGCTCTTTGAAACTTAAAGCTTTAGAAAATAGTTACTTTGGATAGTAGCAGTATAGTGACTGAATAGTTTCAAGAGGCATGCAGCTTGCTGTGTCTCGTATACAGTCTTGTATAAAACGGAACATCGGTTTTAATGACAAGAGGAAGGTTGTCTGACACTGTGGGGTTATTCGTTTATTCCTTAACTTTTTGCTTAAAAAAAGAAGTGGACTCTAGCTTTTGCTGTTAGAAGTTAACTTGGTTGAAAGATGTTTTTTCTGTGTTATGATGCTTCATGGTCCTGCACATCACAACCTTATTGCCCAGAGGTGAAATATCTAACAGATGAACAAGGCTGAAGCTTGAGAGGGATATAAAATTATCAGTGCTGCATGTCAGATAGTGGAAACACAGCCTCCTTGCTTATCCTTGTGGATATGCAAGTAAATAATACTTCCTTGAAACCAACACTTTGATCTTGCTTTGACCTATATAGAGAATTCAGGACTTGGTAGTTACCAAAATAATTGATACTTCTGTAACGTAAAGGGTGGATTTGATTTAAATCAAATCGTTTTAAACCACTGGTCAGGAGGCCTCAATTTAATCATTGTTTTCTACAAAAAGTGCACTCTTGTTGTTTGACATCCTTTATTCATTTAACTTCTTGAAATGTTGCACTTTTAGAGAAAGGTAAGGGCTTGACTGCATGCAACTTGCAGAGAGACAATATAGTTTATGGGAGGGTAATCATCAGGTTTGATCTCTCTCAGCTTCATATACTGCTGTTAACAAGGATGTTATCTCTGGAGACGACAAACTCTCCCTATGCCTGAAGAAGGGTGTTTGTACCCAAAAGCTTGCAAAGAATAATTTTGCCAACTATTTAGTTGGTTTAATAAAAGATACCACATCTACCCAAAAAACCTTGTCTGCCCATGATCTCTGGAGAGACAAATCCACAGTTTGAGAACTGAAACTAAGCATCACAGAGATGCTTAATGGGATCTTCTAGGCTAAGCACTGAGTCCCATGGGTAGAGTAGTTTTCTTTAATCTTACTAAGCTATAGAGGAGCCTCTGGGAACCCCAGAAAGATTGGGCCCCTAATATAGTCCATGGCCTGTTGTGGCCTATTTATAAAACTTTTTCTAAAAAGGTTATATGAATATATTATCTCAAATAGTATATAATTAGAAGTTATAATCCCTATTTCATGGTGATATCTTTGAGCTTTAACATATCTTAAATTTAAACTATCTTCATATAAGTTTAGTTTTAAGCATCTTAAAAAATTAAAAATACAATTAAAAAAATACAATTTTATTTATGTATTTTTTTTAAAATGTTAATTTTTATCTACCCTGGGAATGTAGCATGTGACCTAGCTAGCATTGAAAAAATAATACGGAAGCAGCATCATAAGAAAACAAATGCATCGGGTAGAGGACATAGAGACATTGAGATGGTAATTGGGCTTGAACTTCAAATAAATCATTTCTTTGAAGTAATTTTAAAGACCATTATTGTAATGTTTTAAGATTTGCCTATATAGCAGAGAAATAGCTTCAGTTTAGTATAGAGATGCCTAAGCTGACTTCAGTATTCTAGCTTAGGGACTTTAGAATTTAGCTTTGGTCTCATGGAGCTCATCACAAGCCAATTTACCCTGCCAAAAAGTGGGTTGGTAGACTACTACCACTGCTCACAGTAGCTAGTTAAAAGCTAAACTTTGTCTGTATCTTTCTCCTTTCTGTTTTCTTGTTCTGTATTTTTTCTCTCCAAGTCAAGTTGGGAGCTGTGTAAACTAAGTTGTTGTTTTATTTAGTAAAACAGATTAGAGTTATAATTTTCATGTTAGTTTTGTAGCTGGCTGTTGTTGTTTTGACTATTAAAGCAGTGGTCTGAGTCTATTTTGCTGCCTAGTTAAGATGCATCATGAATGGGCAGTTTGAATGGTTTGGGAACCATGGTGGGAAATTACATATAGATGGAAGATGAGTAGTGAGTACATCAGGGGTAGGCAACATTTTTTGGCTGGAGTGCTGAAAACCCCCATAATGCCTTCCTTGGTAGGTGCTGGAGTGCCAGCATGCCAGAAAAACAAAATGAGGGCAGGGGGTACATGGCAGGATGCCCTACTTGTGCCCCTGCCCCCCCAGCACTGCTGCCCCTTGCCCCCCACCCAAAACCCCTGTCCCCCAGCCTGGGCTCTGTGGCTGTCAGCACCTACCCAGAACCTGGGCCAGTTGCAAACATCTGCTGCCTCCAGGCCCCAGGCTCCGGGGAGACAGCACATAGCAGGGCACAGCTGGGTGGGGCAGAAAGCTGCATGTTCCCAGCTCCCCTGCCACACTTCTCCTTTGTGCATGGGAGCAGCGTGGGCGGCATGCAAGGTTGTGCCCCTTGCTGCTGCCCCTGCCTGCAGGGCAGAGGGAGCTTGGAGCACGCAGCTTTCTGCATGCACTGCCGCACTAGATTCCAATGCTGCTTTGCAGAAGCAGTGAAGGCAGCACAGCGAGGGAACATTGCTGGCATGTGCTGCGTCCCTGGAGCCAGGGGCCGGGGCTGGGAGGCAGCAGATGTTTGCAGATGGCCCAGGTTCTGGGTAGCTACTGATAGCCACGGGGCCCAGGCTGCTTGCTGGGGCTGCCTGCAGCCGGGAGGCTACAAATAGCTGCTGCCCTTTCACCCCGGCCCCGGCTGCTTCCCAGCCCCGGGCTCCGGGAAGGCGCCCATTGGGGCTG